CCGGTAGTAGATTCATTCGCGAAGCAGCTCCTCTTGGGTTGTTAGGTCTCCTTTGGAGGCGCTCAGGTCCCACCCCTCCTGGCTGTGCGCTTCCTCGCCCACCTGCCCTAATGAAACTGGAAAGCCCTTAGGGCCACTAGTAATCATTCCTTTACAAAAAAAAAAACATCTTGTACAACCTTTAGGCTACAACGACTTATACCTTTGTTTGTAGGTTTTCGGCCCTAAGATATTTTTTTTGTATTCAGTGATTCCAATTTGGATAGTCCATAGTGGGAAAATAATTATTGAGTTCCAAGGTCAAGACGATGAAACAAAACGGCTTGTTTTACGGAACAGAAGAATGGGAATAGATCTAATGAACATTCAAATCTCAAAGTTCAATATAACTATAGCAATCGAGATGTCAGCATCGACAGTTGCCAAACATCGGGCAATGTTTACAACACGTCAGTTGCGCATTGATTTGTCGCAACGGAGATCCGTGGGAGGCTGGGCCTGTTGCGAATTATGATAGATCATGTGTAATTGCGATGCTCTCAGTATTGAGACACTATAAGAAAGGGTTTTTTACCCGAATAAAACTGCTTGCGAGCGAGTTAGCATCATCATATAGCTCACAATTCGCATATTGAAACAATAAATAAATGAGGACATATCACACATCTAGCTCCAAACTACGATTACCTAAAATTGTGGAAAACAGAGACTGATATACATATTTTAATACGTTTAAATATATACATATAAATACAGGCCAAAGGATTAACCTGTTCGTTATACGATTGCCGGATGTGGGAATCGAACCCGCGACATTCGGCCCAAAAATCAGGGGTTCTACTACCTACTGCGCCACCAAATCTGTCAATCATTATCTGACGGTAAAATAAACGACATCACTAATAAGGTATTTTTAATGTAAAAACTGTTAAAGTGTAGAACAGCGCTTATTTTTTTTTAAATTATTTATTCCTGACCGAGGAACCAGTTATTAATTTTCTGTGAATCGGAGGATGAACAAGTCTACATTTATGTATAGTATTTATCGAATGTCTTCGTATGCTTACATTTTTCGTTTCTGAATCAGTATTAGTAGCTTCTAACCCACTTATCGGGTGTTTTCATCTGGGCGCAGAGACCAATTTCTGCACAGAAAAATCACAGTACAAAAATTAGAGAAAAAACAAAATCTATAGATGCTCTTGGGTATGCCAGAAACTTGAAGTGGAAGTGGGCTGGTCATGTAGCAAGACTAAGGACCAGAGATGGACTGCAAGAATAACTGCCTGAGAAGGGCCACAAGGGAAAAGAAAAAAGGGTCGCCCGATATCAAAATGGGAGGACGATATAAAAGCTATTGCTGGCCCTCGTTGGATACAGGTAGCCCAAAATAGAACCAAATGGAAAGACTTGGAGGAGGCCTTCACCATGTTTAATGGGTTCCTGCCAAATATTAAGTGAAGAAAATTTGAAGTCGTCGTGGCCTAATGGATAAGACGTCCGGTGCATTCGTGTTGAGCGATTTACCGGTGTTCGAATCTCAGGCGGGTACCAATTTTTCTAATGAAATACGTACTCAACAAAATATGTTCACGATTGGTTTCCACGGTGAAGGAATAACGTCGTGTGATAAATATGAAACCCGCAAAATTATAATGTGCGTAATTACTGGTGGTAGGACCTCTTGTGAGTCCGCACGGGTAGGTACTACCACCCTGCCTATTTCTACTGTGAAGCAGTAATGCGTTTCGGTTTGAAGGGTGGGGCAGCCGTTGTAACTATACTTGAGACCTTAGAACTTATATCTCAAGGTGGGTGGCGCATTTACGTTGTTGATGTCTATGGGCTCCAGTAACCACTTAACACCAGGTGGGCTGTGAGATCGTCCACCCAACTAAACAACATTTTTTTTTTTTTATATTAAATACCTATTTACTCTGTATTTTAGCAGGAAATAAAAGGCTTTTTATTTTATTTATTTTTATTATACATCAGCCACGAGGGAAATTTGGAATCGTGTAACACAGAACACTAATACAAAAATCAAATTAACAGCAATATTAATTATTTCAACTCTCTTGCCTCAGACTTGATATATGTTGAAGCTGTTAAATGACTTATTTATGAGCTACTGCATATTTGGTTTTCGTTTTGTTACGTCCATAATTCGTTACACACATGCATTCCAGTAGCAATCTTCGGGCCGAGATGATTAACCAATGAAATAGATCTGCCGGTTGCGAAAGCAAAGAACCGGTTTTTATAAACGTAACGTTGTAGCAACCGGTGCGGTTGTCGTAACCGGGTCAAGTCTGTTTCAAGTTCAAGGTCGAATTGCGTCACTCCAATTTATTTACAGTTCACGCAACAACATTTTGTTGTTCGCTTTTGTTTTTACTCGTTTTGCCAACAATAAAAATAAAACTTAATCATAAAATATAATGTAAATTACTTATAAGAAAACTATAATATAGAATGTTTTCGTTCTTTTTGTATCTGCTAAGTAGCGGCCAGTTTGTAATTATAATCTTCTTCTTCTTTCTTTCCTATTACCCTCTGCTGGAGCGTAGGGCTCGAATCAAATTCTTCCATTTTGTCTTGGGCAGTCTGTTCTAGCTCCTCCTGTCTGGCCCAAGACGCCCAGTTCTTGCTCTACTGAGCGACCCCAAGTTGTTGCACGGCCTCTCTTCCTTTAGCCAGACACTTTCTAGGTCAGTGACTCTTGAATAGGTATAGGGCTTTCTTAATGTTTGACCAATCTAATGCCACTTCCGCGCATGTAATTATATGTAATGTAATTATAATAATACAAGATTATATTAAATCATTGTTATGTTTTCTTATACTGAACTAATAGATAAAAAACTATAAGGACGATGATACTTAAAGTAGTTGATATCGATTGCCACGATTCCTCTGTGATATCCAGAAACATCTATTCAGCCAAAAAGTAAGGATACATCAAAAGTAAATATAATTATTTAAGAAGTTTGTCTCTACAGTTTACTTTTGCATGAATAAAAAAAAATATTTTTTCGAGTAAGTGAACCGTTATTTAAATTTGAAAAATACTAGCGCGTACATTTCTGGTACATATCGTTTCTCAAATGAGTTAATATTTGGTTTACGAATTATTGTGATGGTACTTACTTATGTACCTGTGACACGAAGAATTCGTGTGCGGCGCCCACACAAAAAAATAAATGGAAGTAAATTTATTTTGATCTTGAATTCTATGTTTGATGTGATAATGGAAGATTTGACGTGATCTAATATGTGTTCCTGGTATATTAGTATTGCACTTCTCTGTGGCTTTAGAAGACAGAACGATAGGATAAGGGACGGGTAGTGTTGACTTAAAGTTATTTCAGTTTCAGCATCGCTATTATTGGCCTTATATCGTGCGTATTATACGTATACCTTTTTTTTGGACCGGGGCCGAACCTTCTGCGAGGTCTCCGCTCCTCGGGAGCGTAAGGCGTGTATGTGGTACTGGATGGTCCACATATATTCGGAGCAGTCATTTAGAGTCCTACCCACTAGATGACTTTCCTGTCCCCTCGCCCAATCATTTGATGAAGAAAGAACCTGGGCGGGGTAAGGGGCCGCTGGAGCCTTCGAGGCGAAACGAACGCTCTGGAACGTCGGCCTTCTTATTACGCCAGCCTAGCCAGGCCGCCTAGGCGGTGAAACTTGTGTCCGGGGATACCCCACTGGGTTAGAACCAGGCCCCCCTAAGATAACTCGCTACGATGATTTTTTTTTAAATTGGGAGGTTTACAAGGTTATCAGTCCTTCGGCCTTTCCATTTTCAGCAGATGAGGGAGCTCGGGCTCAGCCGTAAATGTAATTATAAGCCCCATGCAAAGTGTCACCTTGTTACGAAGAGACATTTTTCTCCGCTTGCAGATCTTGGGGCGAAGTCTGCCAAGGATAAACGCGGACAGACTTTATGTGTGGGCGAGGTGTCATAGGTGAAGATTGAGGCGTTCCAAATTCTGTTGTTAAAGCCCGTGGTCACAACGTTTTGTCTTCATCGGCCCCTTTGTATATTTGTCAAAGAGTCAATCGTCGCAGGACCGATGAGGTAATCATAACGAACGGTATCATGTAAGGTGCTCTATTGAGTTATGCAGATATTAGCGCGACGGGGAATTTTTGTCTGGGCCAGTATATTTTTTAATGGCGCAATATATGTTTAATCCGCCGAGTGTTAGTCAGTTGACTATTTGTGGAGCAGTTTGCGGAATCCTTGCTCCGAAAATAGTGGACTGATCAGAATGCGAGTTTTAAATAATAAAGTCTGACATGAATGAAAATCTGTTGTTAGCACTTCAGGGCAAGTGTCTGGTATTTATTTTACTTATTTATTTAGTTGCATTAACAAAGTGATCATCAATGAAAACATTGACAAATCGACAAATATGTACATGACAGATGTCATCTCAATTATTTAAAGTATAATGCCATCAACGTAATCTATATATTAATACGTGAAGCAAAAACTTTGTTTCCCTTTTTACGAAAATTGCGCGGAAATTGCGGAGTATGAAATTTTCCACACTTATAGAGAATATAGAGAAGGAGTGCATAATGCTAATATTTTTTTAAAATAATGCATAAAAGATACATTAAATCAATAAAGAAAACATTACACACACTACCATGTATTCGACACACACCCATACATAAAACTATACTCTTTGTTTACTGTCAATTGGGAAACTTTTGTTATTGTTTAAAGTCTGTGGTCGAATTCAAAATAGATTAATATTGTTTGTCTTTAATATTATTGATCTATAGTGCAGTTTTGATGAATACAATTAGAATTATTTTTAGAACCATAATAATAAGCTTATAATTTCAATTAATTGTAGTCGAATCTCGACTACTGCTGGGCCACTAGTCTAAGCTAATAGGTCTTTTCAACAAACTAAATTACCTAGGCTCATTTGCACTTTGATACCTACTCGTAAAAAGTCTTTGTTATTTGTCTCCAGGACTGACGAGCAAGGCATAGTGATGAAGGTGTACCAAGCAATGACGCTGACTCTGGAGATCGTGACCCTCTATATCAAGATGGTCCTCACCTGGTTCCATGCTATGTACCTGCTGGTAGTGCCCCCCGAGCCGAAGAGTGTCAATGGAGAGATTATCCTTGTGAGTAATTAATATTAAAACCAGACAAACAAACAACACAGATTGAAGATCTTAAGTAAAATAATTTACAGTTGCTTTGCAATAATTAGAAGATAAATTCTATTTCTAATTTAAAATAAAAAAGATTCAGTCCTCATGTCTCATGGAAACTGGAAGGATCCATGTTGATAGTTTTTTTGTTTATATGACAAATTAAAGACATAATATAAAACCGATGCATCGCTCATGGCGCGGCGGCTGGATTTGAAGGAGAAATAGTGTCATGGCGGACGTCGCTCGCTGACATTTTGACGTTCAGAAACTGAATAGTATCTCTTAAGATTTTTTATTTTTTTTTACTGTTTAGATGGGTGGACGAGCTCACGGCTCACCTGATGTTAAGTGGTTACCGGAGCCTATATACATCTACAACGTAAATGCCGCCACCCACCTTGAGATATAAGTTCTAAGGCCTCAGTATAGTTACAACGGCTGCCCCACCCTTCAAACCGAAACGCATTACTGCCTCACCGCAGAAATAGGCAGGGTTGTGGTACCTACACGTGCAGACTCACAAGAGGTCCTACTACCAGTAAAAAAATGGCTAAAGTGCTCGATTCTGTGACATGAGCAATTAGCGACTTTAAATACATATTAATAAGTCATTTTACTACTTTGCCTGGGCGCGATCGATGTTTGTTGTATGAGCAAATTTTGTTTTCGATTGTAGATAAATATGTTCTTGTCTCGTATGTTACCGTTACTCTATTACTACTATATATATATATTACTATTTATATATTAGTGACTTAAAATTAAAAATGTATACGAATTGCCAACGAAGCTCGGTGTTCGGGTGGTATATAAGCGTATGCGTCTATAAGCAGACCCTCTGTAGACTCGAAGCCAACAGTTTGGAAGGTGTCCCTTGTGTTGCTCTTACTCCTTTGTATTAATTAACAATAACACGTCTCGTACAAACTTGCGCAAATAATATTCCGACATTAAGAAAACAGAAAACCGCTTTAGCGCCATATTTTCAATCGACTTCTTCATACGAAGTGTGTAAACAGATGCGCTATATACAAATATATAGCTTAATAACAAACATTGAATAATAAACGGAATAATTGATATTGATTATAAATTGCACTTAAATTTAATTTATTATTAAGTAATGTATTAAGTTAGTAAAACAGCAATAAAGGCTTATTATTATTAACAAACATTGAAAAATACTATCATATTATATCTCTCTATTATTATTTTTATTTTAAGCAAATCATATTTCGTTGGTCACTATATTATTTTCATTTTTAATACGCTTTTATTAGTTTCATGTATGTTTGTAACGGAATCTTTGAACATTTTGACCCCCTTCAAAACATTGGATTAACTCGAAATTTGGTATACTTATTAAGGACCGAAGACAAATCAAAATAAAAAAAATAATTGAAAGTATTGAAATTCAACTAAAAAATTCAAAATAAATCATAGTTTAAAAAAACTAACAAAATACGTTTTTTTAGAATATTAGTGTAAGAAAAATAATTTTATTGTAAAAAAAGCGTGGGGTGCATGGTACCAGTACTTATAAATATTTTATGAACAGATATGAGTAGAAGGGTTATTTTGATAACATCCTGAAAAGCACGCCACGCTTTTTTTACAATAAAATCATTTTTTCTTACTTCTTATTATTGTTTAACATTTACAGAAGCACAACATAGCTTTAAACTAAATCCAAATATAATTTCTTTTTTTTACTCTAGATTACCGGCACAGGCCACGGCATGGGTAGGGAGACAGCGATGAGGTTTGCCAAGCTCGGAGGCGTGATAGTCTGTGTGGATATCAACCAGAAAACCAATCAAGAGACCGTGGACCTCATCAAGGAGCAGAAGGGAAAGGCGTATCGATTCGAGTACGTTCTTATTTTAAGACTCCATTAAAACTGGTCGAACAGATATATTATACTTAGTCTGGCCATAAATACTGTTACAATTAAAAATAAACAAATTAATACATTTGAATTTGGAGTCTGTCATTTCTATATGATTGCTCATTGAGTTTGTGAAAAAGGTATCAAAACATCGGCACAAGTGTATCAAGATACCATTCTTGAGAAGGTAGTGAAGCCCCTTAACAACACCATGTTCAATAATCAAGAATGGTCCTTCCAGCAAGACTCGACGCCAGGTCATAAAGCTCTGTCAACGCAGTCTTGGTTGGAAACGAACGTTTCGGACTTCATCAGAGCTGAAGACTGGCCGTCGTCTAGTCCCGATCTTAATCCGCTGGATTATGATTTATGGTCAGTTTTAGAGAGTACGACTTGCTCTAAACGCCATGATAATTTGGAGTCCCTAAAACAATCCGTACGATTGGCAGTGAAAAATTTTCCCATGGAAAGAGTGCGTGCTTCTATTGATAACTGGCCTCAACGTTTAAAGGACTGTATTGCAATCAATGGAGACCACTTCGAATAAGCTTTTTATACTTTAAATTTTTTTATATTTATGTATTAAACTAACACACTGTAAAAGTAATAAATGTTATTTGCAATAGAATTTTTTAAACTTTCAATTGTAACAGTATTTATTGCAAGACTACGTATATACGAACTATGTGATTATATATTCAATTAAAAATTATGGATACCCGGCTTTGGGATGAGCCTCTATCTATAGTGTTTCCTGAACGCTATAACATGTTCTTCTTCAAATGACGCTTGTGGAGTGCTTAACGGTAGGCAGCAGATTGGCTCTGCCCCAGGCATTGCTGAACTACGTGGGCGACGGTAACCACTCACCATCAGGTGGGCCGTGTGCTCGTATGCCTACAAGGGCAATAAAAAAAAACGATTGCTTCCAATGTCAAGATTAAATAATGAGACGTATACATACGACAATACATACATCTCATCTACTCTCATTTCATCTTCGCACCACCCCATTTCGGCCAAAGCGGCACGACACGAAAACCCTCTCGTCGTGGCTGCCTGTAACTACGTTCCAAATTCTGGGAACTAAATGGTAAGCTGTCGACATCGCCCTAAACAAGCCATTTCGGACCCTCCCGATCCACTAACGGTGCTTTTAGGTACCTCAAGCACCGCTTGCGATGAAGGGCTCGGCAAGTAAATTAACCCACAGACACAGCCCACTGAGTTTCTCGCCGGATCTTCTCAGCGGGTTGCGATTCCGATCCGGTGGTAGATTCTTTTTTTTTTTTTTTATTGCTTAGATGTGTGGACGAGCTCACAGCCCACCTGATGTTAAGTGGTTACTGGAGCCCATAGACATCTACAACGTAAATTCGCCACCCACCTTGAGATATAAGTTGTAAGGTCTCAGTATAGTTACAACGGCTGCCCCACCCTTCAAACCGAAACGCATTACTGCTTCACGGCAGAAATAGGCAGGGCGGTGGTACCTACCCGCGCGGACTCACAACAGGTCCTACCACCAGTAACTTCTGCGAAGGATTGCTAGGGTTAGTGTTAGGAAATTCTCTCAGGTTGAGCCTGTGAGCTTACCTACCTGGTCAGGCCGTTAGAATAGCCTCATAAGCTACCAGCGAATGGCTAGGGGGAAAAAGCTGCTATATAATGCAGGTGGATGACTTCATCATTAAATACCAATAGGTTTCCGTACTTATCCTAGCGGGCTGTAAAGCTGTCTGCCATTTAAAACACAAAAAATAAAATCAAAAACCCATAGACGACCATACATTTTGCACACACATACAAATATGTACATATTAGAAGAACGCACGCCGAGCCGTTTGCAAATAAACCTGGACTTTGTTTTGCCGTAACCGTGTGAAGTTTCATTGTGGATTCATTTATATAGATGTGACGTCACAGACAGCGAGGCAGTGAAGGCTCTGGCCGAGAAGATCCGTCGTGAAGTAGGCGACGTTACCATGCTGGTGAACAACGCCGGCATCATGCCCTGCAAGCCGCTGCTGCAGCATGGGGAGGGGGAGATCAGGGCCGCCTTCAATGTCAATGTCATGGCTCATCTGTGGGTGAGTTCATAATAATATAATTGAGTGTATTCCTTGTTAATTCTCCTGCTGAAGTGAGAGACTACACGAGGATATTTTTGAAATTACTTTTTAATGTTAGCTAATACTGATAGGCTTCCCTGCTGCTATCCGGCCATCGGAGCCCATAGACTGCACCGAAATGATTGCTTCTGCCCTTGAGACACTTGCTTGAAATTACTAATAAGAGTGGAATTGCTCAGCATAATACTTATCTTCTATCTTCTTCTTCTATGTACGAATACGAATACGAATTGCTGTTCGTTAGTCTCGCTAAAACTCGAGAACGGCTGGACCGATTTGGCTAATTTTGGTCTTGAATTATTTGTGGCACCCCAGAAAATGTTCGGAATTAAATAAAAATAACAATTTTGTTTTTCCTTTGATGTGTCACCCGTCGGACCGATTCCTTTTGTTTGTTTTAAGTTTATTTTATACAAAAGTTTCGGTATTTTATTTATCAATTGAGGCACTACGAAGTCTGCCGGGTCAGCTAGTACTTAATATAAGCTAATAATGTTTTCATTAGTTGATCCAAGCCTTCCTACCCTCTATGATGGAGCGAAACCACGGTCACATCGTGGCGATGTCTTCGATGGCCGGTGTCCTTGGACTACGGAATTTAGTTCCATATTGCGCCACCAAGTTCGCTGTCAGAGGGCTAATGGAAGCGCTGCACGAAGAGTTAAGGGAGGACACGAGAGATTTCAGTGGCGTGAGTTTTTTTTTTACTATCTATACTAATATTATAAAGAGGGAAGATTTGTTTGTTTATTTGTATTGAATAGGCTCCGAAACCACTAACCCGATTTGAAAAATTCTTTGACTGTTTGGAAGCTACACTATTCCCGAGTGACATAGGCTATAATCTTTTTTGAAAAAAATTAGGGATCCTTACTAAAACTCCAATAATGTAATCAACACTCCAAGGTGTAAAAAAAAACCTAAAATATTCTTTACATCGCGTGCCCTGCGAAAACTATTGATGATAGAATAAAATAATGTACTACGACTTTGTAGAACACATTATTATTTACAATAAGTGTCGCGACGGCATATATCTAAATATTATAGTTGTGTCGTAATAAGTGTTCTTTTATTTAAAAAAATAAAACAACGTCAAATATCGTTGAAAGGACAAACCCGAAATCCATACAAACTTGGGCCTGGCGTTACAGTGCTAGAATTTGGGCATAAGTTACAATACCTAAGAAGGTTTCATGAGCCCAATTTTCAGGTCTCCCAGCAATGGCCAAATTGGTAAAATCAGACAATGTTTACATTTTAGGTTATGTTTATTGTTCGAGATATTTTAATGAAAACGATATTTTTGAGGCTGTTTCCTACTAAAGATGAATATTTTTTTACGAAACCTGTTGCAGCAACAGGTTGCTTTAAAATAAAAATAGAACCTGTTACGACAAATCGCGTGTTAGGTTGTTTACGAAAATGAACGAAAGCCAAAAATTAAAAACAACGTAATGCGAAACGCGCTGCGCACGAAATGATTTTTTTAAGGGATTTTATGACCTGGTAACTAAGACCTTTAGGTTAGTCTTATTTTAATTTTAATGAAAACTTTTTTATATGAAAAGCTATATTTATATGATAACTTTTTTATATAAAATATAAATCATTACGTGCTCCCATATTATCTCATCACATTTCATTTCATTTTATTTGATGCCTTTTTTTTTTATTGCTTAGATACCCATCGACGAGCTCACAGCCCACCTGATGTTAAGTGGTTACTGGAGCCCATAGACATCTACGACGTAAATGCGCCACCCACCTTGAGATATAAGTTCTAAGGTCTCAGTATAGTTACAACGGCTGCCCCGCCCTTCAAACCGAAACGCATTACTGTTTTACGGCAAAAATAGGCGGGCGGGAGGCGCGGACTCACAAGAGATCCTACCACCAGTAAAATTATTAATGTAACTACACCATAGAAAAACTCAAAGTACCAAATCGACTTTTTCATGTTATATTAAAGATTGCCAGTTGAAAACATTTTGAATTGCCGCAGTTGCCGACATGATTTCGTGTCATAACTAAATGGCACAGTTATTGATTTCTTTTAATGATTTTTGTTAGTAGATTTTGGTGCTTTACGTTACGTTATTCAATGGGATTAAGTTTATAGTCTGGCCAGCGAATCATGGCACAACTAAATAGCGGCAATCCAAAATATCTTCAGTTGGCAACATTAAAGATAACATAACACGATTTGATACATTTGTATTTTTCTATGGCATAGTCACATTAATATAAAAATGCAAAACTACCCTTTCATGCTATATTTAATTTTAATGTTGTCAGTTGTAGATATTTTGAATTGCCGCCATTGTAAGTAGTTGTGTCACGATTCGATGGCCATACTCTATTTACATTGATTAAAATACCTATAAAAACAGTCATTTATCCTAAAGCAAAAGAGTATTCATTATTTTTTACACTCTATTTCCACTAAATTGATCCTATTTTATGGATGCTCTAATTCTAATCCGCACGTTTGTGGAGCTAGTTACGTATACTGAAATAAGTGTTTCAGATGTTTACAAAGATTGTTTAAAACAAAAAATTGAATTCAACTTATTTTCTACACTTGGCCATTGTCAATGAAGCTAAGATTTCAATAGGTTAATCAAGCAAAATAGACGAATTTTTTGGTACATATCCCATTCGTATAACGCTTAGGCCCAAAATGGGGTTTCTCCTTTTTGGTTAAAGACCCGAGCGGAGCCGGAGTCGGCCGCTAACATCTATATAAATAGTAAGGTTACCAACTATACTCATTTACTGAGTTTTGTACTCGTTTTTAGCAAACCGTACTCTTTTCAAATCCTGTACTCTGAAAGTATTAATTTGTATAATTTCTTCTTTCGAAATCTTTCCGCAGTTTAGAGTAGAACATATCCCACATGAAAATTTTTAAGTTTTAATAGTAATTTCCTTATGTTGTCCAGGCACTAATGCTGCTGTTGAAAGGGTATTTTCACTAGGGAATGATTATTGGAGCAGTGGGAAGTCGCAACTTTCTGTAAAAACATTATCTGCCGTCTTAACAGTCAAATTTAATATGCAAAATGAAAGTTGTTCGGATATGGCTACATTACTAGACGAACATCCTCATTAATGGCCCAAGAGCCCGCGACAGCCAGACCTTCGTTATTTTATAAAAGCTGAAAGTTTCTCTGTGTATGTCTCCAACACAGGTAAGAACGACCCGCGATTATAGAGTTCCGATTGTGGTTACTTGGGCAGGTAACAGGCAGTAAAGGTATATAAAATAGTACCTTAAATTCGTTAAAGTATAAAGGTTTTTTTTTTATATTTAGTCCAGAATATCTTTAGAAATCATGATATCCGTTGCCGGACACTTTTTCCAGTTGTTACCCCCTGCCAGACACCCTTAAACTTTAATAAATTTTAATTATACTTTCGTTATACTATAAAAGCTAAATTTTATATATGTTACTTAGGGACTTATAAAAATATGTTACCCCAAGAGCCGGACAGTTTNAATATTTAAAAAAAAAACCTTTATACTTTAACGAATTTAAGGTACTATTTTATATACCTTTACTGCCTGTTACCTGCCCAAGTAACCACAATCGGAACTCTATAATCGCGGGTCGTTCTTACCTGTGTTGGAGACATACACAGAGAAACTTTCAGCTTTTATAAAATAACGAAGGTCTGGCTGTCGCGGGCTCTTGCTCTATAAGCAAAAAAAATCCACTCCGAAGATGTTTTTTTAAAAAAAAAAAGCTTTTACGTATTTTCCTTTTTTTCACCTATGAAATACTTGCAAAGTGTTCTCTTTTTGAACAAAAAATAGTTGGTCACCTTATAAATAGGGTTATAATAGTTTATCGTGCAACACTAGTGCACGTGCACCCAAGTCGCGCTCGGGTATCTTCGGGCGCACTCGGGCGTCTTCGGGCGTAGTCGGAATTCCCGAACACGCAGGTGTCACCTGACGACATCAGTCGACAAGATTCGCGCGCGATTTTATGTTTAACATAAAAAGTATAACAATATCTTCGTAATATAATTTAATTAGTATCACCTAATGTTTAGCTTCGTTTTCTCCTTTTCCTGTTCATATTAGCGAACAGCCACCATTATACCGAAACTTAAATCATCTCATATTTTATCATCTCTTGAGATTCAATTCAATCCCAATTAATGACAGTATCAAATCAACCGCATATCCCTTTTCATTTCAACAGAGCAAATCTCAAATTCAAATTTAAGTTTTTTTTTAATTCGACACTGTCAACAATGGCGTCGCATACTCTCTACACTACCGAAGCATTACAAGTGTTTATAAAATAGTGTGTTTGACTTATTTACTTTTGAGTGCAAATTTCCTGCTAATAGGTTTGCAAATAACATAGCACAAGTCTAAATAAAATCACCAAATTTACTTCACTAAATTAGTATATCAATACATCTTTATATAATAAATTTTTGATTTATTTTTCAATTTTTATTGTAACTTAAGTAACCAGATCGTCTTGTATAAACCAAAATGGAAGTCTTGTTCATTAATAGTCGTTCAAAAACTCTTTATACAGAATTGCAATTAGAAATATTTTATAATTAGGTATTAGAGTCAGACATACATATTTTATATAATGATATGGAGTATTCTAAAATTGGTTCAACAATATTAAAAGACATGATTGCGTTTTCTGTACAATATTAAGACAACAACATTTAAATCCTTTATTTTCCACAAATTATTATTTTACGCAATATTATTGAATTGTGTAAAACTGAACTCCTTTTTTTCTCAATGACAGAGAGTTCAGTCAATCTATATTAGATTTTTTCTTAATCTAAAAAAAAATTACGTAAAATAAGTTTTTCTTTACATGTATATGTCGGCGTTAAGCCAGGATTTACACACATAAGTTCTTTTACAATGAAAATACAATACAATTCTATAAAACTTTAACATTACTTGTTTACAACAAAAAGCCACGCCTGAGTTATTCAGTGGTTTTTACACAATTGGCCATTTTGTGTTGGTTATAGCAACTACAACTTCTTTTATACAAACAAATGTAATTACTGCGAATAAATTCACAAAACATAGCTTAATATTCAAAATACATATTTTAGTGATTTTACATGACTCACATTTAATTTATTTTACATGAATTACTTTTAAGTAATATTAACTAACATTATTATTATCCAGCCTGATAATAGATGGCGCCAACAACATCATTGCATAACAATTACAATACTTAATTAAATTATTAGTACTGTTAATTATAATATAAATTATTATTAATATTTATGCTTTATTCATATTTAATCATTTATACAGTAATTTGTGTTTTTAAACAATAATATAAACATTAAACATATTCTGAACATTTTTACATCAAAACAGTGTCTGCTAATTATTAAATATGGTAGAATAACAGTTTTGTTGCTAATAATAAATATATATTAACTAAACTATATATTATTATGTTAACTATTGCCAACAGTGGCGTTTGCGCCCATATATACGTCTTTTTATGGGCCTAATTCCTTAACTCCAAGACAAGTGACATTACAGTTAGATCAGAGTATAGTGAAAGTATGTGAATGTCGAATTGCGATCGGCATCTTCTGGCGTTAAGTAACTATGCTATCCAGTTTGGAGATTAGGAAAGAGCGCTTTGCTATATCCAACACATAGCGTAAAAGTTAGCTCATATTTGTATGGAATGGGATCGTTTGCGTATGTTTGCCGCTGGGGGCGCTGTTCCAACTGCATACAAAATCGGGTTAACTTTTACGCTATCGAGAACGTTAAGAAACTCGCACTAAGCACGCGTATGTTTGCTCGCAGATCAAATTCACGGTGATCTGCCCGTACATAGTGGACACGGGACTGTGCAAGAACCCCAAGATCAAGTTCCCGTCGATGATGAAGATCCTGACGCCTGAAGAAGCTTCCGACTGCATCGTGGACGCGGTCCGGAGGAACTACTACGAGATCAGCATACCGACGTCGCTCTTATACGTCAACACTGTAATTTAGAATTTTATTTTCCCTGAACGTTTTTTTTTCCTGCCTAAGCTGAGAGCCTTGAGAGGCTATATCAGCGGAACCTTAACTAGTAGCTGAGCTCACGGGGCCCAAACCTGACGACGTTGCTAACACGAACCCTAGCAAGAGCTAGAGCGTAGATTCTACCGCTGGATCGGAAACGCGAGCCACTGAGAAGATCCGGCGAGACTCAGTGGGCTGTGTCTGAGGGTTAATTCACTCGTCGAGCCCTTCGTCGCAAGCGACGGGTTCGACGAGAACGATGACCTGTGCTTGAGGTACCTAAAACACCGTTAGTGGATCGGGAGGATCCGAAATGACTTGCTTGGGGCGACGTCGACTGCTTTCTATTCTGTCCGCAGGATCGGGAATGGCCCTAAATGAAAAGGTTTGCCGAAAGTTAATTCATCTCTTTTAGCGGAGACGTGCGAGGTTCGAGGAAAATAACCGGATTTTCTAGATTTTTCTGTGTTATCCCTTGTATGAGCATTTACCGTGTGTGCTTTGGCAACATAACAAAAAATAATATTAACTTTAAAAACTTGAAAATTCATTTAGAGTATGAAATCTTTCATTGTCGGTAGTTTGATAAATTCATTGATCTTAGAAGCCGAGGCAGTCAAGACGTACCATCGCCAATTATACATATAAAATATATACCATTAATTTCACCTGTTGAATGATTGTGGTAACATACTAGATGCGAAACAGAAGATTCATCAAAGACAGGGATATACGAAATAACTTGTTTAATAAATTAGTTTACTTTAAATATCTTAGATAATTTTGCTTTTTATTAATTTTAATTAGTTTGAATCCGATTAGCCTTCGTCCATTTTGTATTCAGTTCCACTAAAGAGGTCGCAACAGAATTTTTTTATAATCTGTTTTCAAATTCTTCCACCTCTGTGATTTTTCGTTTTATGAACACAGAGTACACTTCGATGTAATGGTATCACAGGGCACTGGCATCCATTGCGGTGGCCTTGAGCTAATCTACACCCAGTACTAATTAACAACAGGTTACAATTATAAATAGCACGCAAACACGTTTCTACGACCAGTTACAATACTAGACCTGTTCTAGAACTAGTCGCCATTGAAAACTAGCATTTCCATTGTAATTTATTACATGAATATTTTTTTTATCTTACACGTGAATATTAGACCTAGTGTTAATTTCCTAACTCATGATTTAATGTACGAACATAAATTACATGGTTATATAACAACTTGTGATACTAAATAATAACCTTTCGTCAAAATTGTTGACTTCGATGACCGAACTAAACCATAGACACAGCCCACTGAGTTTCTCGCCGGATCTTCTCAGTGGGTCTCGATTCCGATCCGGTGGTAGATTCTGCGAAGCACTACTCTTGCTAGGGCTAGTGTTTTATTTTTATTTTTATTGCTTAAATTGTTGGATGACCTTACAGTCCACCTGGTGTTAAGTGGTTACTGGAGTCCATAGACATCTACGACGTAAATGCGCTACCCACCTTGAGATATCAGTTCTAAGGTCTCAGTATAGTTACAACGGCTGCCCCGCCATTTAAACAGAAACGCTTTACTTCTTCACGGCAGAAATAGGCAGGGTGGTGGTACCTACCCGCGCGGACTGACAAGAGGTCCTGCCACCAATAAAAAGTAGTAAAGTAAGGTAGGTAGTGTTAGTAAATTATCTCAGGTTGAGCCCGTGAGCACACCTACCCCTCCGCGAGTAACTGGAATAGCCCCTTAAACCAGAGATTAGATAGAGGAAAAAATAACAGCCTTCATCAAACAAGGTTTGTAAGAGTCGTCTACGGTAGGTAACGACAGTGGCCGCTAGCGACCTTGCGGCCCATGGACGTCTGACGTCACTCGAATTAATAATATTAATCGAATTAGTAATATTTGTACTTTTTTTTCAGATTTGCCGTCTAATGCCGAGGTCTGTGTCCTCGCATTTGAAGGATTTTTTGGATTCAGGACTTGAAGCCCAGTAAAATTTAATATTAAACTAAAATAGTGGTTTTAGTATTAGCGGTTGTAGGAATTTCCGAAGATAAGCCTAATTTTTTTTTCAAATAAAAAATAGTGCCAATTTTTTTTTAAATGAATGTTGCGAATGTATTTTACTGTTATTTTTTTAATATAAGAATCTAAATGAGAAGATCCTAATCGATCTATATAAGTTGAGCTGATTTTTGTGATATCAAAATGCGACGGTATATTATTAAGTAATTGTATATTAAGTATATTTAACCACTTATTAGGTACTCGCTTAACATATTCTATTACGGAATATGTAGTTACCACGGTGAATAGGATGCAACACGTAAAATAATGAATGCTTAAGAACATCGATCCACGCTAAATATAAAAATAAAAAACAAATTTTTTTATTTAAAACTCTTAATCCATTGGCTGTTTGTAAAATCACTAACAAAATAACCCTTTATCATTTTACAATATTTAATGAAAGCTGGGTCATTTATATTATAATATTATAATTGTCTTTGTAATAGAACATAGGTATTGCACTTTTTATGTTACAACAGGTCAAAGCCGTAGAGTGCCTTCCTTTGCCATGTATTTTTTTGTTTTGCTTAAAGAAACGTGATTCGCGTCTTTAGATCTTCAGCTTCAGTTGGAATCGAGTCTACCCTGAACCGGTATTCGGTTCGAAGGTTTTAGCCGCAGACAGAGATACCGGTGTAGGTTTCACTCGCCTTAAATTAAACTAAGATTAGTAATGTTAATATTATTCGATTAAAGTTAAAATACATCATTAGTACGCTTCGAGATCCAAACTAAGGGTTTTGTTTTTCATTGGAGAGAAAACATTTTTTGTATTTTTTTTATAATCCTACCTAAGCTGGTAGCCTTGAGAGGCTATTCCAGCGTAACCTTAACTAGTAGGTGAGCTCACGGGGCTCAAACCTGACGACGCGGCGACGTTGCCAACACGAACCCTATCAAGAGCAGTGCTTCGCAGAACCTACCACCGTATCGGAAACGCGACCCACTGAGAAGATCCGGCGAGAAACTCAGTGGGCTGTGTCTGAGGGTTAATTTACTCGTCGAGCCCTTCGAGAACGGTGACCGGTGCTTGAGGTACCTAAAAGCACCGTTAGTGAATCGGGAGGATCCGAGATGACGTGTTTTGGGCGACGTCGACTGCTTTCCATTCTTTCCGCAGGATCGGAAATGTAGTTACTGGCGGCCACGATGAGAGGGTTCTCGTGTCGTGCCGCTTTATCGAAGTAGTAAATACTTACTGATGGACTCTCAGTCCAGGTCGTCATGGAGGTCGACGTTCCTGACGAACCACAGGGCTCCGACGGCTACCCTGCAAAAATGGGATTGAATGATTTGGAATGATTTTAAGTGAGTGCGGGCCGCGTGAGCGAACGCTACACTTGCATAGGTCATGACGGGGCGTATGCAAGTTTTGTAGAGTGTCACCTTATTTCTAAGAGACATTTTACTTCGCCTGCTTATCATCGGGTAGAGATTTTTTTGTAATATCTCGTATCAGCCTTCAGAATGGTGCGGCTTGTAAACATAATTAAATAAAAATAAACTAATGGCACTCGGGGATTGCCGCGGTAAAGCTATTGCATAGCATTTTTTATCATCTTATGCAATTATAATTAGACAATAATAATTTAATATTAAAACAATACTGAAAGAAGACCACGCTATATTTATAAACATTAACAAAAGCAAAACATTAACTGTCCCTTTCACACTCATAAGCTAGACCGCGCGAGAGAGAGATGGGCGGATTTCTCATAATGCGCATGCAGTGCGACCTCACACCGCGCGCTTATTCACAAACACTACACAAGCGCAACGTGTGAATGTGTTGAACGCGAGCTACATGGTAGGCTGAGTGAGGGTGTTAGGTTTTATTTTCGTTACAATTTTTTTCGATTCGGTCGCCGGGCCCGCGCTAAAAGCTATGCAATAGCTTAAAAATATAATTATGGAGCTGTCAATCAAAATTAAGTGCATAAGGTCAGCGGCTCCAAGTTCAAAACGGTAATTGCGTAGACGGTACGGACGTAGTTACGGTAATTATAACCGGAAAACGATCTACGTTTGCTGATTTAGGTAAGTGTGCGTTTAGTGCAAAGCAGACGAAACTCAAAGGCGATCAATGTGCTAAGTGCGAGTTTTTGAAAGTTTTCGATGGCGTAAAAGCTAACTCAAATTTGTATGCAGCGTGTCCTCGTATAAGTTCTAAGTATTCTTTTTGATGCTTTTCTGCCGTTCGAAATGTTCAATAAAAGCTTATTTAGGTTTACTGTTCAAATTCAAACATTTATTTCAATTTTAATGTCATCAAAACGTATTTTTTGTTGTGAAGCGTAGAATAGTCCTAGGCTAGTACAGTTGGAAATACTACCAAATATTGTTTATGACAACTCTATACTGTCAATTTGACAGTTTAATTTTAGGGTCAATAACATTCCTGTTCATTCGTGATATTAAGTTTCATAATGGTCAATGGTTGAATTGGATTTCATTTTTACATATTTATACAATTTTAAATTTTCACAAATAAATAGTGTCGTATTTTCTTTTTTTTAAATATCGTTGATGGACTCAACACGTGAGATGTGACAAGCGTAAAAATAGAAATACATACATATTTACTTCAAATCCTTTTCTCATCACCAATAAAAAAAAATCATAGGTACTTGGTGATTTTAATATGATTAAATAAAATGAAGGTATGGTACAAATATCATATCAACACCACAATACTTCACTGGAAAACGTCGAAAACAATTGAAAAAGATACATTACAATTTTCGTCATCACATTTAGCGTTAGTGTTACGTTTTTGATTATAACAATTTTTACGAAAAAAAATATATATTTGTTGTTGTTACACTCTACCAAAGTGCCATCATAATGAAACAAAATGAACATCACGATTTACCAAACAAAAACAATATTTTGTACACATCACACGTTTAGCTATTGTTGTATTTTGTTATAAGTTTAGTATTTTAATGGCCAAAAACAAAGCGGTGTTGTGAAAAATTCGATTTGTGGTAATGTTTTCAGCGTGATTTGAAAATAAATGATGTAAATTAAAACAAACATGTTTCATTTCTTGAACCGTTTTAGGCAATTTGTACTTTTCTTACCTAAGCTGATGGTCTAGAGAGACCATATCAGCGTAACCTTAACTAGTAGGTGAGCTGACGGGGCTCAAACCTGAAGACATTGCTAACACGAGCCCTAGCAAGAGCCGTGCTTCTCAGAATCTACCACCGGAACGCGACCCACTGAGAAGATCCGGCGAGAAACTCAGTGGGCTGTATCTGAGGGTTAATTTACTCGCCGAGCCCTTCGTCGCAAGCGACGGGTTCGACAAGCACGATGAACGGTGCTTGAGGTACCTAAAAGCACCATTAGTGGATCGGGAGGATCCGTGTTTTGGGCGACGTCGACTGCTTTCCATTCTGCCCGCGGGATCGGGAATGAATTTGTACCGAGAAACCTCGTAATAAGGAGACGCAGGATTCCGTGAGTTTCCAATCCACAGAGTACCTATACAAGAATGATTAATTGAAAATTAAAATAACATATTTAATCACGTAACACATTTTCTTAGTGGTGATATAGACGTGCGAGCCCCAACGGTAAAAAGAAACTACCACCACCCCGACTATTTCTATCGGGAAGCAGTAATGCAGTTTGAAGATCTAAACCACTTAGGTTGTGACAGCCGTTGTAATATAGAGCTGAGATTTAGAACTCGTGGCTGAAGGTGGGTGGCGGAATTTACGTTGGTGTTGTCTTGCTGATGTCTCCGGTAACCACTTAAGACTGCGCTCGTGCACTAGACTGGCTACTCTCGAGTTGTTAGGTCTCCTTTGGAGACGCTTGGGCAGCTGTTAGCAAATCCCACCCCTCCTGGTTGAGCCCTTACTCGCCCACCTGTCCTGGTGAAATTGGAAAGACCTCCGGGCTCCTCAATCATAAAAAAACACTCGTCTGAGCAATAAAATAACAACGATGGCTATTGTAGAATAGAATAAATCCGACAAAAATGAGAATCGGGCCAACGACATTTTGGAGATAAAATTGCTTAATCTGTGGATTGCAGATTCACAAGCCCGAATATGACTGATGATGACTGAAATAATGACTGAATGTTGAATCAAACATTCAGTCTTTATATTTCTCTATACAAAATATAATTATGACCAAAATAATGCGTCCTTTACCTGATATTTTTACTGGTGGTAGGACCTCTTGTTAGTCCGCGCGGGTGGGTACCACCACCCTGCCTATTTCTGCCTTGAAGCAGTAATGCGTTTCGGTTTGAAAGGTGGGGCAGTCGTTGTAACTATACTTGAGACCTTAGAACTTATATCTCAAGGTGGGTGGCGCATTTACGTTGTGGATGTCTATGGGCTCCAGTAACCACTTAACACCAGGTGGGCTGTGAGCTCGTCCACCCATCTCTCACCCTAATACTTGAATCATCTGTGTGGATGCACCTTAATACTTGAAGAGGCGAAGACCATAAAGATTTTATAATTGTAAAGGTAATTGAATACTGCTACTAAGGCTGTATTAAGGAAACGTACAAGCAATGGCCAGCTGTATTTGGGGTCGCATACCCTGTTTGCGTAGTTCGAGTTTTTTAACGTACTCGATAGCGTAAAAGTTAACTTAAAGTATGCCGTGGTAACAGCGCTCCTAGCGGCTAACGTAGGCAAACGATCCAACTCCTTATAAATTTGAATTAACTTTCACGATATCGAGAACGTTAAAATACTCGCACTAAGCACACTGATTAATAGTCCGGTTTCAGAATGTAGCAACATCTGCTCTTGAAGATTCATTTTACAATCACAACGATGCAAGCTTGAATAAGTATGTATATTTTAACATTGGCTAAAATAAAACCACAAATTACACATTGAAAACCATTTATTTTGAATTTACATTATAACCATCTACACAGTTACGTTACATATGTTTTACAAATATACATGACTAAAGCAACTACACTAACATGAAAATTATTAATAGGAACATTCTAATACATATTTAGGTATTCTAACACCTTCTTAGCACGGTTGAAAACTAATATTAAACAAATTATCTACTCTGCTGCTAATGTAAATAGTGTCTAGGTATGCATTATAATAAGTAGGAAGTGGAAGTAAGTGACAGCGTAGCGGTAGGTAGTTTTGCTGGCCCACCCAGATAGATCACAAGGTTAAGACTATTTTTACTACATTTACACACACATTTTTACTACATAAAACTATCGTGT